CGGGATTTTCTTGCCCCCTCTTGAGCTTGGTAATAGGGGTTTGTAGATTGTAATGTTCCCTTCCGGCGCTTGCGTACCGTAACTCAACACGCGAAAAATTCGCCGTCAGGTTCGGTGTTGGTGCAGAAGCACAACAGGCACCCTACCACACTCGCTGCCTGCGCGCGAAGCGTGAGCAGCGTTTAGCCACAAAGCGAACGCTGCGACGCTCCTCCATTTTTGGATTGCTGCCGACATCCATTTTGATTACTCATTAACTGCAGTCCCTCCTTTAGCGCTAGGGTTGCGCGCTAGGCGTGCAACTGCGCTCCGGCGCCACCGCGGGTTACGGTATGCGAGCGCCGGGAGGGTGGGTAATGATTTGGTACTCCTACTGACTAGTATAGGGTATAGGTAGGCTAGGCCAGTAGATCATCGTAAAGCGTCACATAGAGGGCTAGTGACATCGCGGCGCAGTCCTAGGTTATGCGGTTCGTATGGGATCATGGCGTACTTCCAGTCGGGGCTGCTTAGGCCTACTAGGTGTCCGCGTGGCACAGTGGCGGGCAGCGAGCGCGGCGTAAGTCCCGTTAGCTACCCATCACGCCGACCCTGGCGCCGCTCCTTGCAGGGCGAACCCAGTGCTTATGTAGAAAGCGGCGGTTCTGATGATGTTGGAATAGGAAGACCCAACTGTCATTATTGTATTTCTTTGAACCACCATAAATTCAATCAATCAATCCACCATAAATTCCTAAGAACTTTGGACACAGTAACGGTCGAACGGAGCTAAAGTGGTGTATGAAATAAATCACCATGCGTTGAAGTCAAGGTCCAGCTAACCAGATTGCAACTGAATTCTGTGAACCGTTTTCTCCTCCCCTTTACCATTTTCACAATTGGTGGGGGTAATCGAAATCATAGCATTTTTCATGTTTGAAGGCGATTTTGAAATTTGGGGATTGTGCTGTAATACTGCTCTTCATGGTAGTGTGCACAAGTGCGCTGTTGAAGAATATCTCTTATTTTAATGTTTTGAAACAATGGATTTTATACTCGAATATAATCCAGTTGCAAGGAACGTCCATCCCAAGCCGAACAACGTCGTATTTTCGATGACCAAAGAACATCGCTCTGAGAATGCGTCTTTCCTTCGAAAAAACTATTGGCAGAAACATGAGAGTGTGAAGAACGGCAGGCAGTATAAGTGAAAGGAGCATTCCTGCAGTGATTCCTACCAACGGAATGATATCGTACAGATTCGGGACACAGACAGCAACGGCCACTGCAAAAATAATCATGAAAAAGACTAAATTTTTCTTAGAGTCTATGAGCTTTCCTCAAAGTCAAACTCCAAAATAGCTAAGCGAGCATGTTATGTGGCTTAGAAAGCATTGCGTGGTTACTGTCTTGCCTGCAAGCTCATTCGTGCGTTGCGCTAAGGACACTCGGAGCTTCTCTGGAGGGAGGAGGGGGGGGGGGTATTTGGAATTGCAGGAAGCAGCCGAAACGTCGAAAAAGGAGGACGTGTTATGGAAGTTGAAGGGTCCTCTTTTGACGACTCTTCCGGAATATTCGAATAATAACTTAAGCTGTCAAAATTGGATAAGATCTGCCCCGCTTCAGCAGACCAACCCCTCCCCCTTTCTCGGCGGCTCTTTCAAAGGGAAAGATGGGCGGAGTTGAGCGTATCGGCAAGTCTCATAATCACCAAATACTGTTGAAACAGCCCATGTTGGTGGGTGTGAGGTGATCGCAACGGGGGTGGGGAGACGGGAGTGTATCGGGGGCTCCCTCCAAGGGGGGGAGGGGGGGGGGTTTAAAAGAAAAGGGGTCCCCCCCCCGTGATATCATTGTGAATGGCACAAGTGGCGGATGACTCTGCCCGTCTGTAAGAGCAAAAGTGTGCATCAACGACGGTGAAAGTATGGCCCCGAGTATTTTGCTCAGTGCTCACGAAACAGGCTGTGTGTAGGAAGCACAGCCTGCCGAAGCAAATGAAGAAGGTCGTGGGTGAAAAGAACACAAAAAGGATTGGTGAGACGCAGACATCAAGGCGTTCGCAAGGCGCCCTTACCACGAGCTTCTGACAGAAGCCCTCTGCCGTTCAGCGGCACCTTATTTTCAGTGAAAATTGATTCGATAGAATGGTGGCGAGGAACATATCACGGAATTTGTTTTTAGCTGAAAATTCCTCATAACAGAATACTTACACGAGAAAATTGTGAGCACCACACGGAGAATATATTCGCTGATAATGGCCTGTCGTGGAGCGGCTTTGAAAAATCGTGCCGAAAGAGATGGCGAGAGGATTGATATGATAACGTAGAGCTGAAGAGCCGAGCCAAGAAAGATTTTCGCCACCAGTAGGAGTTTCACTGTCACCATCAGCCTCAAAAGGGTTTTTCATCGAACATTCGATTCTTTCAACTGAGCGACACAAGGAAAGTTGTAATAGTATGCTTTTTTACAGAATAGGTACCTTGAGTTTGGTAGGTTGAGAGTGAGACTGCCAGCGACCGATGGTCCGAATGTCAGATAACCAAAGAAACCAAGAAAAGCATAGATCAGCATCACAACGTTCATAGATGTGCTGAGGACCCCCGCAAGTCCAACCATGTCCGAAGGCGTTTTTAGCCGATTCTCCAACGCAAGCACCTAGACAACCGTTTGACGCTTCTGTACAAAGCAACAAGTGTATAGATATTTTCTGACCATAGCCTGTCCTTCGAAAGCGTACATCAAACCACCAGCTGCGATCGTCACTCCGCTGAAGTCTGTCACTGCCGGTAAAGAGAGATGTGAATACTTTTCGTGGAATATGAGTTCCTGAAAGCACATCATTCGCTCTGAGTGGGTAGTTGGTAATCGTATCGTATCGTACCTTGGTAACCAAAGCAATCGCTAGAAATATGATCACATTACCACAAGCCGACAAATAAGTGATCATGCGAATATTTCTAATCAAGTTCACACACAATTGGGGTGCGAAGAAAAGCAACATAATAGCCCTCTTTGAGAAGCCATGGTCTGTCCCCAGGACGAAATCAGCGACCTGGAATAATACAAGATAGATTTGAGGCATGCGCATGTTCTACCGACTTTTCGGATGCGCCAATTGACAATGGTTTACACATAAAATACCCTCACCTGTTTCTCACGAGAGGAGGTGGAGGGGGAACTGTGTGAGCTTTTGGTCTAAGGGAGGGTTTTGAAATTGGCACACCTCCCTTAGCCACAAAAACCAAACCAGTTAGCCAAAATTTCCTCTACATCTGGCTCACAATGGTTGTGAATGCCAAAATGTGGAGTCAACAGAAGCTTCTGCAAAAATTCCGAAAATTTCGTTCATTTTTCGTTCGAATTCACAGATTAAAAAAACCAAAACACGAGGTATCATCTGAAAAGCCTTTTCTTCTGGGGATCCACAAATGGCGGACGAGGTTTTGGATCTACCATAAAAGGCGCGGGCGCTCATGTCGTTGAGTCGTGTGTGTGTGTGTGGGGGGGGGGGGTGGACATTCAAGTGACTGAGCCCCTCTTTATTCTCGGAACTAAGGCTCAGGAAAGGGAATACTTCCCTTTCCTGAGGCTTAGCTTCGAGAACTAAGTCCCAATAACCGTTCCCAAATCCATTAAAAACACACCCCAGGCAAAAATCGTGTTAATGATTCCCTTTTGTCTGTGAATAGACAGACGAAATGACACAGATGTGGCATTCCCGTGCACGGAACTCGTCCGATAAGAGCGCTAGAGCCTTGCAAAGTAAGCTGCTGCAGCTGCAACTTTTTCTTTATCAGGCTGTTGTCTGCGCCCTCTCATCTGCTGCGCTCTCTCCTCATACTCTCCTCCCGCGCATAGTCTCTCTTTGCCTTAATCGCATTAATCGCAGCACTGTCGACACCGAAG